TTATCCCAGAGCACCTCGCTGCGTGCACTTAGGGGGGGGGGGAATTGTCGTTCGTTTTATTTTTTTTCATAACATATATATTTTTTAGAGTTTTTGGAATTTTTAGATTTTTTATTTTTATTTTTATTTTTTTTTTAGGTCCGTGTTCGGCCGAGGGATACCGAACGTTCGGCAGGTTTGGGGTCGGGAGTTCAGCCGAACCTGAACGCCGGTAACCCTAGATAGATAGATAGATAGATAGATAGATAGATAGATAGATAGATAGATAGATAGATAGATATAGATATAGATATAGATAGAAGCAACATTTTATCTCTCTTTTTTTTTTTCTCTTTTAAATTCTTGATTTGATTGATTCACCTACCTCCATCTGGATTCGAACCTGAGGCAACAACTCATGGGTGTACCAGGCCGTTGGTTCACTTGCTTTGTCAAAGCAGTAGCTCGGCTGGTAAGGCACGACGCAAGTGGCATTCAGGAGGCCTGGTGTTCAATCTCAATTCGCCTCATGTACCTTCCTGGGCAAGCTTGGCGCCCACCACCAAGAGTTGGGCCATTGGTGCCTCCAGGGGGCATTGAGCAGAAACTGCTCCTGCGTATTCCCTCGTTGAACACGGATGTGGTTGCTACAGGAATCCCGTAACACTATAATGATAATAAAAAAGGTCTGAAAGACCGTCCTGTGAGTTGTGTGTGGTGTGTGGGAGAGTGTTGGCCATAGCCACTGCTGCTACTCGATGGGGGAGTGGGGAAGTAGATGGAAGGCGTAGCTACTGGCAAAATACTCGGTTTTGGCGTTAACCGCTCTCTCCCCACCAGCGACCCCAGCCTACTCCATGACCACCGCCAATTGTCAGAGGTAACTATGCTTGCAGGGGTTCCCTGTATAGGCCTCGGAGTAGCCCGAGGTAGGTAGTGAAAGATGAAATTGAAAATAATATAGCTTAGGTTTAAAAAAGAAAGAAAAAAAAAAAATTGACAGGTAATTGAATTAGTATTATTTCAATTTTAACTGGGAGGAGAATGGGTCCCAATTCTGGTTCAGTTTGAGGTTTTTTTTTCTCTCCTTTGGGCCGAGACTATTTTGCCCATCCGCACATCCATCCTTCGGGACATCCTTTAAAATTGAAACTATACAGAGAAGATTAGCATGGCCCCTGGGCAAGGATGCCACACATAAATTGAAAAATGGTCCAAACCAGACATTCGGGTTTGTTTGGCCTCCACTGCATGCCAAGTTTTGCCTGACCTGTCACGAGGCATTACCAAACAGATTTTTGGGGTGGTATTCGTGGGCACCACATCGTTTCAGCCAGTTTGACCTGGATTGCAAAGAGGAGCTATATCGTCAGTGTCAGTAAAGTTGGTTTTACATTAACCATGCAGATGGTGGGCCAAGTGGGCCATAGGCCACTGTGGTTTTGGCAGTCCACATCGGGTCGTGGGCTAACATTTTTTTTGCCTTTTTTCTGTCATATTCTTTTTGGGATCATTTGCAATATAACCCCATACAACAAGGGCGACATGATTGAGGTATGCAACTATAGGTTAATTTTTATGCTTAACGTCACTTACAAATTGTTGGCAAAAACGTTAGCAGAAAGATTAGGTAGACATTTTCCAGGGTTAGTGGGTCAGGACCAAGGCACGTTCGTCAAGAGGAGATCCATTGCAGCACTGAAACCAATCAAAAGGCATGATCAGGACACTGCAATGCTAATGCTTGATCGTGAAAAAGGCCTACGACGGAGTTAATTAACCCTTTGTCATGACTACCTTAAAGACTATAGGGTTTGGGTGTGACGTATCAGCTTCAAGTTCCATACCTGAACGATCTTTGGAAGCCCTGAGTTTGCTATTCATTCTTTTTTTTTCTAACAGGCCTTAGGGGTATCTTCTTTTTGGCTGATGGGTAATGCATGGAATCAATGGTCATCAAGCCTCTCCTACCATTTAAGACTTTTTGTTTTTTTTCGGACTTCTTCGGATTTTTTTTTCGGCAATCCATGAATTTACGTAGGAATTATACACACCTTAGCGAGCGCGCTAGGAATGTTGTTAGCCAGTTGGGAACTCCGAATTTTGCAGGCGTGCTTCCCGTTGGCATGTCCTTTTGTGCAAGTGAATGTTCTCAAATTCGCCCTTGAAATCTCTGTGAATTTTCAGTAGGAATCTGAATAGGCGTAGGATTTTCGCACGTTTATGTACGCATGCAGACATTGCTTTTAAATTTTTCAATCTTGAATTATTTTTAAGATTAGGATGGACAGAATATAACTGTTTCAGTGCCTTTTTGTTTTTGCATTGGCGCCATGCATGCAAGCTTCCCCATGTGCTCCATGCCATCTTCTCCTTCTCGCCTTTTCCCCTTGACCCGTAATTGTTTTTCATCCCCTCTCCCTTCGCGCTTCTATCCCTCCTCTTTCGTCTGAATCTTGGTCCCGCTCTGCACTACTCTTCGTGCCCTCCTTCTTCCCGCCTTCATCCCCGTACCGGAAGCCCTACCGATCCCTCACCCCCAACACCTTCGAACCATCAGACGACATCGTGTAAGGAGGATTAATCCCCTCACGCTGCAATCTGATTGACTGCGAAGAACTCGTGACGATCAATATGGCTTCCCCTAATTAATTCATCTTTATTCTCTCTTCACTTTCTCCTACCTCTGCCTCTCTCTATCTCCCCTCTTTTATTTTTCCCTTCGCAACTATAAAATCCACAAGCGTATCCGAAAAACTCGCTCTCGACCCATCTGCTAGCTTCCACGAAGTAGTGGTTATATGATGTGGTGATTAGCGAGTCGGAAAGTCTCGACGAGCCGACTGTAGTTTTACAAGGCTATGCGTCGGGTGACCTCGACGAACTACGAGATCCAGGCAAGTCGCTGTAGAAGTTTGGCAGGGTGACAATCGTTGTAATGTGGAGACCGGTATGTGGCGGTCGAGATCGCCAGTATTTGGGTAAGGAAGGTGTATGTGTGTACGAGTGGTTATATGGTCCTGGGCCATGATTAGAGGGCAAAAGGATTGCGCGCCTTGATATTTAGGTTCTCCTCTTAATTTGGAAGCTAAGTATATGGCGGAATGCCGATTTTTCTCACATCCACTTGTGTGTTTGTAACTCTTTCTCTTTCCTTAGTCCCCTTCCTCGGTCGAGCTACGTCTCCGTTAACATCTTTTGACTTGATTTTTTCCTCCCCCCCTCTCTCTTCCTCTCAGTGTTTCCATCGTAAGTGCATGAGCGTTCTGATGACTCTCTCACCTTCTCTATGTATGAGATCTCATCTCACTCGTGTTGTTAAGTCAAATCAGAGTTCGCGGGAATGAGCGTTGTTGAATTTGAAAGACCAGTGAGTTCGAGTAATCCTGCACGTCCCTCCCCTGGTCCTTTGTACATGACAAATGATGAGCACATATGACGCATAAGTGATATTTGACCCTTACTCGTCTTGGATAATCACAATGCATTGACTGATCTGTTGCTTTGATTCGGAGTTTGATATGATTATTTCGATGCATGTCTAGTTTTGCTTCACACTCATATAAATGAATGATATGTGTTT